AACATATCACAGATACTACAGTCACCTAAAATATACACCATAAAACATTAAGTTTCACCCAAAAAACAATTTTTTATGGTTTCAAAGTTTATTTTTTTAATTGATAACCAAAGAAAACATCCTTAAAAACTTAAACTAAGAGTAAAAGTTTCTTTTGCCATTGAACTTGACACCTGTATGCCACACGCACCTGAAAAACGGCCATGGTACGTTGAAAAGAAATGCCTGAATAACCACTTTCACATGAGCTGAGAAAGGTTGCTCTTTACCTTTATTTATAATCTCGAATCGAGTCCCTACTTTCTTTGGATTTTGCAAAGAAAGAAAACAGAATTTTGAGAAAATAAAAATCTGCAACAATTTCAAAATACATTGGCAGTACACCAAATATCTTGTAGTACTTTAGAAAACTTGAATCTAAATCATTATTTTTTTTTTAATTTAGTAGTAAGAAGTTTTATATATTTTTTTTTATAAATTTAAAAGGCAAAATGTATCTTTATATGGGGTTATTATACAGGGTGAGTCATAAATTAGTGCAAATATTATCAAGATTGGCAGATCTCGATAAAAGAAACATATTTTTTCTTTACCGTTTTTTAAATAAGCCCAAAATAACATTTTTAGCAAAAAAAAATTTGCTAAAATTTTGAGAACCACGAAATATATTTTCTGGGTTTTCTTTCTTCTCAATTTAATCTACTACCTATGTTGCCATATTCAGGCATCAGGAAATTATGTTTTTTAACCAAAAACTAAAAAAAATCCAAAAATGTTTAAAAAAATTACAAAATTTCAATTTTTTTTTCGCGAAAAAAACCTCATAGACTCCTCTGGGGTTGAAATATACTACTCTTAGAACTATTTGCACATGTTTAAGACTCATCCTGTATATTGAAACATAATTGGACTTGAAAGACATTCAATGCAGCAGTGAAAATTAAAAAAAAAAGAAAATTGCTAAAAAAATTGAAACCAAGGCAATCAAAACTCAATAGTAGAACTTGACTCTGGATAGTCAGTTATCGATAGCTGCTAGACACTTGATTTATTAAAAATTATTTTTCAGTTAATAAAGAATACAATTTAAAAAAAATATTTTATTTATTTATTTGCCATAAAATAGCGAGCGATTTGTTACTAAACTATATAAATTATATATCACTATTATCACAAAACTTCAATCTATTTCCGTATTGTAACCGAATTTTAAATTGTCTTTATTTTCGAGAAAATTTAGTCCGAACATAAGGAATATTTTGTTGATGTTTGACGATCAAAATCTTAAAAATAAAGAAGTTATCCAAAAATACAGTGCTACAATGCGGACATAGTATAATCCTTTATCTTTAATTTCCTTCTTTATTTGTGTAAAAATACCTAGTCTAGCCTATCTAAAAAAAGACAGAAGATGTAGAGCAGATGTTAAATTAGAATTTTTGCAACACCAATTTCGTCATTTATAGAAAAGAAATAATAGCATTAATGACAAGTGAAAAGACGTTTCAATCTTCTTCGAACCATATTAGAAGAAAAACACTTTTTCCTTCTTCATATAGAGATCACTTTTTTATTGGCTCGTCCTGACAAATCACACAGTATTAAACATAGCTGTTCACAAACTTTCTTATAACATATGACATATGTGGACCTATACCTTTGTTCAAAAACTTTCTTTATTTAAAAAATGATGCGCAAATTTTTGAGATTCCCCATCTTGAATCGTTGGAGATAGTTTTTTTAACATCTGTCTTGTTGGTAACATCCCATCAAAAACATAAAATAGATAAACGCCAACGTTCGTATCGCAGTTATATTATTATTTTGAAAGTTATTATACAGGGTCAGTCTTAAATAAGTGCAAATATTTTAGGGGTAGTATATTTCAACTCCAGAAAAACGATACATTAAATATTAATGAAAATACAGATCATATAAAATTTCTGAAATTGGTATAAAATATTTGAAAAAAAATGTATTGGATATAGAGAAATTACCTATGTAAAAAATATAAACCATTGTAATTTTAGTTACTTATTTTCTCATAGTTTTAGTGCCATTTCCAATAAACTTTTAGTTTCTTACTTTATTTAAAAAAAAATCACCAAACAAATAGAGGTGCTGGCATCTTTTTGTAGATTGAGAGACTATATACATTCCTTGTTGTAGAAATCTTTATTATTAACAAATGAAATGGACTTGCTCCATCTGTTAACAAAGCCATGGAACATATTGCAATGTTAATATTACAGATATAGAAATCTGCAATTTGTTTATGTTAATAAGTTGAAATTGGAAAAAATAAAACAATATTCTCTCACAAAATTGTTTTCTAGTAGGTACAAACTTACTTAAGTTATTTAAATATATTATTTTCTATTTTTTTATAAACTACAAACGAAAATATATTATTGTGTATTATTTGTAGGTTTAGTTATTTTTATTATTGCACTATTTATATTTCTTTTGTCTCTTTTAGGTAATATCTTTATAACTTTTGTAACTAACTCTATAAATACCGTATGATCGAAAAAAAAAACGGCGTGCAGTTGGCTTGGAAATGACGATCGATGACATTCCCCATATAATTTTAAATTTAAAATGACAACGATCTTCATTTTATAGCCATCACTGACGCCGTTTTCCTTCGAGCATATTGTACGTGACACGTTATTTTTTTTTATTTGATGCTATCACAACAACAAGGAATAAAAATTAAGTTTGATAGAAAAATAAAACTAATGTATTTTATTTTTTATTTTTTTTTACTTGTAGATACTCTTAAATAACAAACATTAGTGTCGTTGATTTTTGAATTTTGAAGATTTCAGTACATTTAAAGGAACAAAACTCAAGGGCTTAAAAAAGTACAGAGGATGGAGAAAATCCCTGGGAAATCTCAAAGGTCCACGTAAGTTATCTGAAAAAAAACAGAAAAATATTTTAAAAAATGAATTGATTGCCTGTAATATTATACAGGGTGAATCTTAAATAAATGCAAGTATTTGTAGAGGTAATTTTGTTATCCGAAACAAACATTTTCAAGGGATTAAGAATGGGCTCTTTCACAAAAAATTAAATAGGGTAGGTAGTAACATTTTATTGTAGCATACCTTTTACATGCTCTGTTCCAAATTGTCAAGATAATTATAGAGGGGGTCCCAAGGTTTCTACTTTTATATTCCCCAAAAATGACGAGCTTCGTAAAAAATGGTTGACAGCTATTAAAAGAGATAATTTCACTTCTACTAGTAGTTCTCGGGCAAGAAGTGCATTAAATATGCCTCAAAAAGACCAAAGGCCAAAGCCTCTGTTACCCTAGTGAGGTGTTAACACTTACCGCACTATAAGTAAAATATTGGAAGAAGAATCAAGCTTTTTACATCAAAAATATCACAGAAAGATATTGACAACATTGACATTTGAAAATATAAATGGCCTGGATGTAAGTCTTTTTTAGGTCACAATTGCCCCTCATATACGTCAGAATTTATTATTAAATCCATCTTGTTCAGAATATCCAATATTTTATTGAAGAAAATTACAAAAAAAAGGAATGACGTCTTTACCACAAAGACAATGCCCTATGTAAAGAGAAAGAGTAAAGAAAACTAAGCTAAGCGTAAGTTTTCCTTACGAACCCCCAAAAAGGTATTTAGTTTTTTTTTCTATATAAAATCTTGAAACAGATATTATATTTTTTATTTATCCTCGCCTATTATAGTTTAAATTTATTCCCATTTGTGTAATGCTGAAAAAATATTCCATATTTTTTGACCCAAGTCAGTGCAGTTTATAATTCCAAGAGCATTTACCAAGGCTTTTTCTAAGACAAGTAATTTCCTATACTGTCCATAATAATATATATTTATCAAACGTTCAGTAAATTCTAAACTATGGTAGGTAAGTGTTTGCAATTGAATATTTAGTTTATATTGCTATTTTCTGTCATATATTTCTGGTTATTTCTTTTTCCGATGATTTTGAACACCCTATATATGCTACCTCAAGTCTGAATATTTTAACACTACCTATTTTCTGAGAAAGCAGACCTTAAATAAAAAGTAACTAACTGATGTTTTCATAAAAGTAATAATACAAAAAATTTCATACCTATGTAGAGAACTTTAGAAGACCCCTGTATATTAAAAAATTAGTGAAATATTACGTAATCTAACCCGACATTTGTGTGAAAAATGTCTATTTGGATATAAAACAGGTTTTAAAATACGCGCCAAATAAAGCATTTCTATCTCCGCCATATTGGAAAAGGTAGAATGGGCTTGTGTGGAGGTGGTGGTGGGTCAGCATGGTGGCCCGGCCGCAGCCGTGTTGCCGCTTTTCAACATGCCAGGTGTGACGTATTAAAAATAAAGTGCGGATTTTTATTCTGGGCTTTTTTGTTTTTATTTATTTTCTTAAGAACGACTTCAATTTTTCGAAAGTGAGATAGCAGAAAATTCTAGAATTAATTGCTTTATTCAGTTATGCTAATTCCAAAATATAGTGAAAAGGGCCCATCCAGAAATGAAATAATATACAGGGCGTTTCCTTGTACCGAAAAGTCAAATAGGAAACTTAACATACTAAAAAAACCGTTATATTTAAGAAAAAAATCTGCTACCTACATAATATTTTTTTGTACTTAATTTTTATTTACACCCTATATACATTAGTTCTGCACTATTTATTGTCCTCATTTTCCTTACCTATTAAGATCATACAAATGTCATCGCTACAAAATAAATATGAAAGGGCACAGCCTTATTGAGAAACAAATATAATGCTTTTTTAATAATGTTATCGTATATTCAACATAAATTTATTGTATTCTCTAGAAGTAAAAGGTTTTAGAGATTATGGTCTTCTTTGTTTATTACCATATCTCTAATTTATGGTTGAAATAATTTTTAATTGGAGTGTGTTTTGTAATCTTAAAAGGAAAGATGAATGAGTAAAATACGGAGTGTTTAAAAGGAACAAATGACATTTAAAATACAATTAGGGTTCTGAAGTGTCATTTATGTCCTTTTATAGTTAATTTAGATCAATTAAATTGAAGAACAATTTAATTGGTCTAGAATTTAATGAAGCTTAGGTCAAAAAGTTTTACTTACTGCGAATTTTACTGTATTTTACGATAGCTTTGAAGCCCATTTGGCCATCGACTTGGTACTGAACAGTACGAATCAGTCCATCAGGTTGCAGAAAGCTGTAAGATCCCTTTGTAAAACTATCTCTGCCTTCTTCAGAATGCTGACTCAGTATATCGTCCATGTCTATTGCATACTGGAACGAATAATATCCCTAAAACATGTTAAATTATTTATTTTTAATAAAGTATCGTATTTATGGAAAATAAGTATAGTGTATATGAATAATGTTTTCATAAATGGAAACAATTAAAATACGTGCAAGAAGAAATAAAGTTCTTAACCTATCCTCGCTGTACCTGTACTGTACTTGCGGTTAAAGTACTATTTTATCTACTATTTTTGATAGATATAAGGCAATTTTAACAGTTGCTATGGAAAAAATATATAGGGCATCCCCATTTAAAAAAAAAAACATAAGTTTGGATCATATTTCAAGAATGACAGATCCAAGAGAAAAACTAGCTGCACCACTGAATTCTACGTAAAAAACTCTATGGGATTGACTTTTCACCTTTTCGATAACTTATAAGATAACCGAGATACAGGGGTAGTCAAAAAATGCATCAATTGAAAGGCTTATTTTAATAACATAATATGCAACAAATCCATAATAATTCTGAATTATTAGACTTTTCAGACTTGAAAAAATGTCTAAATTTAACAAAAAAACTATTTTTAATGCGTAAAAAAATATTTTTCTAATTTATTACTTTTCCAACATCAAATCCTTCAAATCATAATCAATTTAATAGCTAACACATACAATTTTTTTATTAAATAATATTATGTAAATATTACCTTATTTACAGGAGAGCACTGTGAATAACCACCAAATTCCAAAATTCCTACAAACAAAAACTAAATTTTATATTAAAACCTTTATTTTTTTTTCGAAAATGTATATTTCACGCTCACCATATATGGAACTAGAGTACTAAAACACATAATAATGGTAAAAGTATCATCTGATGCACTGGTAACTCTTCTAGATTGAAGGCAACGCAAACGTCGCCTGGCTGCATTCATAGCATCCTCTCTGAGAGATGGAAAAATCTTTTTAAAGTTCACATCACATTCTATTTTGTTTGAACGAAATAAAGCATTTTTTGTGCAGTATTGTACTTGAGACTTTGTATTTACTTGTAATATGTCGTAATATATCGACGAAACAGTAACAAAACATATACAGGATGATTTTATTTAGTCAACTTACACAAAGAGGTGCCTTAGTTTAATGCAACATATAATATGCAGTAGATTAAAAAACATTTTATCAACAATAACTTTGTTTTTTGCTAATATCACTTAATGACTTAATCACCATTAAATCTTGGTGCGATTCGAACCCCTTGAGTCTCAACATTTCTAAAACTAAAGCTTTGTCGTATAAAATCTCGCTGCAGCCTTTTGTACTTAACAACACCACCATTGACGTCGTAAAATCTGTAAAATTTTTAGGGCTTGTTGTGGACAATTCTCTGAAATGGGACATACATATCGAAGCTTTGTCGAAAAAATTGAGCTTTGCCTGTTTTGCATTAAGATCTGTTTCTAAGGAGCTTAACTTATCAGTGGCTAGGACTGTTTATTATGCACTTTTTGAGTCGCACCTCAGATATATGCCCTTCCATTCTGGGGTACGTGTTGTGCGACTCAGTTTAACCGCATTATCAAGCTCCAGAAGAGAGCTGTTCGATATTCACTGGGACTAAACAGCAGAACTCATTGCCAGGACTTTTTAAAAAAATTAAAAATATTAACTCTTCTTTCCTTATTTATATTTGAATCCGTTTGCCTAATACGTAAGCATGTATCAGCTTCTCAAGAAAAGTACTCATTGCTGCATACCCCACGCTCAGAGTTAGTAAAAAGGTCTATATTATACAACTCGAAAAAAATGCATAATCACCTGCCATTTGAAATCAAATCCATAACATAATTTTCTTCATTTCGCAAAGCATTGAAATCTTGTTTACTAGACAAAGCTTTCTACGCCATAAATGACTTATATTTTGATAATCGAATTTGATCTTGTCAACACTGGTCTAGTATTTGCTATTACTATATTATAAATGTTTATTTTAAACATTAAGACTGACAATGTAATTTGTATACTTGTTTTGTATTCTCTTTTGTTTGTTTACTTTACCTTTGTTTACAAATTATACATTTTTTTGACAATAAAGGCATTTATTTATCTTTATGTTTTACTTTTTTGAATTCCGCCATATTCCAATAGTTCTTCTCCGATTTTTATAGCATTGTTGTGATTTTCCGGTGGAGTGCACATGATTTTAGTTTTATCAATGTTCAACTTAAGGCCCCGATGCCCAGGTATTTGTATTTAGCTTTTCCTGTAATTGCTGACAACTAAGAAGTTTTAATAAGAAATAGTAGGTAAATATTACAGCTTAATATGACCTATTTCTGATACACCATGATATGCAAAATCCTACAATTCAAAAACACCTTCTTAACATATTGTTCACCTAACATTAGATCAATCATTCATATCCCATCCTGCTATTGTTAATTATTTTCTATTCAGATCTAAAATTTGACATTTAAAATAGGTAAATACATCAGATTTTTTTCCGGAACAGATGATATATCTTCAACCTTGGAAGACATGAATAATAGAAGGTTTTTTTCAGTTTTGTGATTTTTATTCAAAAATCGTAACGTGTGCGTGTATTGTTAATAGCGCAACTAATTACATATGATTAAAAAAGAATCCCATAACGAATTTAGTGGGGCAAGGATAGAAGATAATGTAGAGAAAAAGCATTATTTTAAAATTATCATTAAACGTATTATACATCTTATACTATCTATTACGCATGAAATTAGATGCTAAAAAGAAGAAAAAAACGTCACCTGGACATTCTCTAGCATTTTTTTTTCATATGGAAAACATTCAAGAATCACGAGAATAACATAATCTGCCAGTTTACCCAATCTGAAGTAGCCAAAATAATCAATAAAGTATGTTGTTGAGAACTATAAACTTCTAAAAAATCTACCATGAGTTTTGGTTTCGTCCAAGTCATATTTTCTTTGAATAGGAGCTTCTTTAAGATTCACTTAACATCCTTTTTTAATATCTAATGCACTGGAATACGAACTAATATACAGCTCGGGATCTCTACTACCAAAAATCAACAGAAGAATTAAGTTAGCATAGAGTACTTATGGAAGAAATTTAATCATACTCATATCTAGAATAGTCAGTGGCGTTGACCTTAAAAAGCACCAAAATATTTCAGTGCTGGACACCAGCACCAAATTTGGCACACAGCTTCTACAGATAATAGGGCTTCAAAAATTGCCGGGAGACCTCTGGCATGTCCGGATCATCAAAATGGCGGAAATTAGATTAGAGTTTTAGCAGGAAATTAGATTATTGTCCCTACCTCCACTAACACCCCCCCTGCACCCACGTTCGTCTGAACTCTAATAATTTTCTTGTATTGCATGCAAAATAAAAAACATTTTTTTGGGATTTATTAAATGTTTGTTAATAATTTTAGAAAACTAAAAAAATTCCTACCCTTTTTTTTATCCCCTCAATCAAGCAGAACATTCCAGCATATAGCGAAAACATCGTTCAATCTCATATTCGGTGAAGACTTGCAACGGTAGATAGGGTCGATATTGTTTTTGATTAGTATACCCCGGAAAGCTTAAAAACAGGGACCAGGGAGGCGAAAGGTTCTGGAAATAGGGTAAGCATGTAAGCCCAGTGTGGTAATTCCCAAAAATTTTAGTTCCTTCTTGGCACACAGCCAAAATAAACATGACTTGTTTGGGTTTTTGGCTCAAAACGTAGTAAAGATGGATGTACCGATTGGAAAGAAAATAATATGCTCATGAGAACTTGGTCATTACTTCCGATAATGAGGTTACTTATAATCATATTTCCCCAACATTTCATGAAGCTTCAACCTTTGAGGGACATACCAAAATTACTATAAAAACAGTAGATAGCGAGCGTTTTACTAGGCATATATCATAGGATTTAACAGTTTATTGCCCAGCAGAGTTTATACATATTGCAGAGACCAGTACTACTATATTATTGTAAAACCCTAAACTTAAGAAATTAACGCTTATCATGTTTATCCACTGAACCCTTCAAATTTAAACAGAACTAACATCATATAAATACTATAACATAACATACAATAAAAACTAATATTTTTATCTTTATACTATTATTTATTATATTAAAATATGTATTTACAAATTTCTTTTCATTAAGAATCAAATTATATTAAAAACTAACAAGAATATTGCGAATATACATTTATTTAATTGATCAACTTAAATAATCTAGTAAATAACTATAGAGTTTTTTTTTATTTTTGACAGACTGACAATACAATATTTTGTATTTTTGATCTGTCAAAAATAAAAGTATGAAAATATATTTTTACAAAAAATATACAGGATATCTAAAAATAATTATACAAATAGGTATTTCTTAGATTTAACTAAAAATATACAGAAAAAATAGGTGAAAAATTATTTTATTCGTTTTATTTTATATTACTGGTAATATTTGAGGGTGTAAAATTACTGGCATATGACTTACAGATTGCGAAATTAAAATAAAGCTTAAATAAAAACAGTTCTAACCATTGGATTGGTCAAATTATTTTTTTTTTAATATTCGAAAAGTCATAAATTGTATCAAACAATAAGAAAACATTACTAAAATATTAGAATTTATCTGACACAAAATTTTTAAATACACTCTTCTTTATTATTTTTATTAAATTTGTATGTTTTTTTTCTACTGTATCACTTAAAATAGATTTAAAATAAAATAATTTAGCTTTTATATGGCAGAAGAAATCAGCTAACTCACTTCTAAAAAGAGGCGTTATTTTTGAAAGGTATAATTATTGGTAAAACATTAATCAAGTAAAAAAATACAGTATGATTAGATAAAAAAAAATGATGTCATAGTAGGCGTAGAAACAACATTTCACTTCTGTGTTTAATTCTACACCTACTCTGATTTTTTTTTCAATTGATCATAGAATATTTGATTGGCACTTAATTATTTTTTGTCATGAACATTGTACCGTATGATAAAAAAAACAGCGTCAAAGAAGGCTGGGAAATGACTATCGATAATAATTTTGGCGAAGTCAATCTCTAGACATAATTTAGGTACAAAAAATTGACACAAAACTTGTCGAATATTTTTGAAAGAAAAAATGTATAGAACGTTTCCAGACACAAATCTATTTCCAAAAAATTTTTTTTCTAGAATTTTAAACTACACCATTTAAAAATAATTTTTACTCAATATAATAATTAATTTCAACTTTCTTAAAGACAACTGGGAGTAAGCACAATTAAAAGATAAAACAATAAAAAACGGACTAAGTAAAAGACATCTAGGACTTGACCTCGTCAAAATTATAATCGATTGTCGTTCCCCAACCGTCTCTGGCGCTGACTTTTTCTGAACATACGGTATAATATACAAAAAATACAATAATTTAGATCTTTAGAGGATTTAACTCAAATATTTTTCTATAAACTATTGCTGGCCTCTGTAAAAGTAATATTTCTCATCATTTTGATCATATACTGAGTTAGAATCTTTTCCAGCTTCATTAGAATCATAATAAACTACTTGAGGAACATAGTATCTAACACCAGAAGAATATACAACCCCTATTTCCGGTACGTATTTCGTATTTTGATTTGCTTTAGTCCTATGTTGAAGTTCTTGGTCAGTGTACTTTGTTGATGGTTGCAAAGTAGTCTTTTTCAACTCGTAAATCTCATAGTCTTGGACGTCAAACGTATGGGGACCCGTGTAGTCCAATCCTAAACTCCTGGAGTACTGTTTTCTATGTAGATCGTACTTCTGTAAGCTTGGCGTGTACCTTTGGTCCAAAGGAGTGCCTAGAATGAGGTTAGGGTTGGGTTTTAATGAGTAGAGTTTGGTTCTGTATTGGTGAGGCAATGCAGGCTTGTAGTAGTTTGGGTTTGGTACGTCTTCCTGG